GGGGGTTCGAATGGCTCTGGGTATATGGATGAACTCGCGAGCAGCAAGCACTCGCGGCAAAACTCCCCGCTCACGTGGATCACGTCGTCGACATATCTGGTCGATGCGACAGTAGTCTCCCAAGACTGCCCGCGCCGGACAAACCCTTGAGAAACGAGGTGGTCTGCGTCCCTGGCACCACTTGTATTCCGCTTGAGCCAGAACCATGGAACAACCAATTCTGCTACAGTAGCCGCCGATTGGCAACCCGTCCATCTCGCATGTGAGACTGCCGAGCTGGCACAGATTGCCACGGCACGCCGCCCGCAAGGCCCCGGACAGCTCCGCGCGGGAGAAAGTCTTGGTGGTCGACCCTCGCGCGGCCAGCGCGCCGCCGAAGCACCATCTGCGGCGCTTGCTTCGGAAAACTGTGATCGTAGTCTCCCCTGTCCCGGCCTTCTTGCTCGCAGCGTCGTCAATTTGCAGGGGGGCGTGGCTTCGAAGAACTGGCCAGCATCGGCCACCATGTACGAATCTGCTGGCCGTAGCGGATGCAAGACAGCCTATGCGAGTCACCGCATGCCAGCGCGCGCACGCGATCGCGGAGTACCGTTGGCGCCGCCTTCAGCGTCCAAGCCTCGAATCCGTCTCCATGGTGTTTGGTGGCCGCCTCCATGGCACGGCTGACAAGTTGCCCGGAGCGCTCACCAGGCCAAGTGCTGTGGCTGACGATTTTTAGAACAGCTGTGATGAACTTTCCGGCAACTACGGCATGCAGGAGGCGGTGCCGAAAAACATTGCTGCTTGATCGTCGCATACATGTGCGGCAGCCAGTTTGTCTGCGGGTTGATGAAGAGGAACCAGTGCACATAAACGGGGATCCCGTCGTACATCGCACGCTGCAGACGCAAATTTGCTTGAGAGTGCGTCATGTCCACGAGCTTCCAAGTCGTACTGTTCAATATGTGGTGCAAGGTCAAAGCTTCGTACGTTGATTTTTCATGATCCAACAAAACTTGTTGTTTTTGTCGTCAGGGACTAAAAAGCAAACAGGCGGAACGACGAAAGGCATGGTATAGAGTAGATCATGGAGCACTTGGCACCCATGCCTCCCATTGTCTATGGATGCGAGCATGGTGCTGCGCTGACTGGGCCTCAGCGTCGGTCTGCAAAGAGGATTCTGCATGTGTCCGCGCCGCAGTATTGTCGAGTCCAACTGGCGACTACACCACAGGCCTTCACAGTCAAGTCCTGTGGCGATCCCAGCGTCTATCCACCAGGTGCATCCCCGCACCCGCAACGGCGGACCGTAGAAGAAATGATGGGATATCCGACACCGAGTCGCACGAAGTGCATTTTGAAAAGGACGACGCCGTTGCATAATCTAAGAGCGTGCATTGGTGCCCCAAGACGACTTTCGTCTGACGCCGAATCCAAATTTTCTCTTGAACGGTTACGGGGAGCCGGCAAGAGCCTCCTTATTGCCACGCTCAACTATTGGTCGTAACGCTGGGGCGCTGATGGAAACACTCTGCGAACGGGTGGTAGGAAGACCTCAAGCTCGAAGCCCGGCGTCCACTCGGTACCGTGCGATCCGCTGCCTGCACGGCCCTAGTAATACGAGTAAGTGCTGCGCGACCAGGGGGTCCATTATCTACGTGCCATGCCTTCTCGATTAACTTCCAATCGACCGTGCTCGCTTTGGTGCCCATCCACAACACAAACAAGCTCCACAAATCTGGAGAATATATTGACAGCGGCCCGAATTGTGCAGAAGTGCGCTGAACAACACGGTCGAAGTTCAGAGAAAGAGTATATTGCCATACCCATCCGCCTCGAAGACCGCCAACGTCACGAGGAGAAGGTGGGTAATCTGTAGACGGCGCTGCTGGCGGAGGCGGCGCTCCTGGAAGACTTATCGGAACTCCAACCTTACTAGCCGTCCAGCGACATGCCTGAACAGGCGACGGCGGCTTCGAATGCGTTGGTTTGCCGTTGGCGCCTGGGCGCAGGGCTCGGATGACCGCGGTCTCCGCAGCTCGCATGCTTGCGTCCGGGCCAGATCTGAGAACCATTTGGCGCGTTTGTTGCGGCGGGAGCCAGCGAGCCATCCTACACTTCTTTCTGTCGGCATCTGGAAGCGCACGTCGCCGTTCGCGCAGAACCGCATGTTCAAGCCAACGAAAGAGAACACCACCATGTTGATGCCCGTCTCGACGGGCCCGCTGCGCGACCCCCACGTACTCAATAGGGGGCCGCATGCGAACCCTACCCCTACCTCCCACGACTTCTGAGGGGGAGGGTGGGGTTCACTTCGCTCGAGAGCTCCCGAACGAAGTGAACCCCACCCTCCCACCCTCCCCCTCAGAAATCGTGGGGGGTAGGGGTAGGGTTCGCATGCGGCCCCCTACTCAAGCCCACGGCCAGTCCATCCGAATACGTGAGCGCTGCTCTCGTCTCGGGCGGGGGCCTGCCACTGTAGCGCCAGGAAGCTCTGGGCTGACAGTTGCAGGAGAGCCTGCCCGCCGAGCGCGACGAGCGAACCTGGTCGGTGAAGCAGGTCCCTGTACGACTCGTTTGATACTTCTGCAATGCGGGTAGATTGCTTGCAGGTGCGATGCTGTTTCACCCACGTCACCGCGCAACCTGTAGAAGCTGCTCCCCACACGAGCTGCACATCCGAAGGCCACTGGCGCTGACGGCAGGATGTCGGAACAAAAACATTGGTGCGACAGGGCGTGAATTATGTTGTGCAAAATTCATGTATATATTGGCTCTATGCAAAACATGAAATTGATAAGTCGTGGTGCCCCGTTGCAATGCCCGAGTGGCTCCAAGCAGTACACCTAGTATTCTGTCAAAACCTGAATGTAAACATACAAGCTCCCCTCGCTACACAAGCTCACCTCGCTGCTGTCCCCCTGCTCACCAAGCAACGTCAGCAATCGAAATGCGACTGATCAAGCAACTGACGGTGAATATTTTGGACCATTTCTCACGGACGCCTGGAGCTCGTCCAATTTAAACGACGTCACTGCAGCTGCGGCTCCGTTCAACATGAAACGTTAGAAGAGCTGGCAAGAGCCATCGCGGTTACGGAGGAGGACAAGGGAGAGAGGAGGAGAGCGGGAGAGAGAGAGAGAGAGAAAGAGGAAAGGACAGCCGAAGAGGTATTGATTCTACACAGCGTGAGAAACGACGGGCTGTTCACACAATGTTTGCCTGTGCGGTGGTGTGAAAAACGGGAGGCGCACACGCACTCACACACACACACACACACGCGCGCGCACACACGCACACACACACACACACACGCACGCACGCACGCACGCTCACTCGCACGCACGCACACACAGACACATAGACAGACACACAGACACACAGACACACATACACACTGACACACAAACACACACAGACACAGACACAGACACAGACACACTGTCGACGGGGTACTCAGTCTCTTCTCCGTTGACAGGTTTTCCTGAAGGTGACCTCCTCGTTCCTCTTCGGGCTATCCCCTCTCGAGTGCTCTCCCAGCCCTGGTAGACGCCTGGTGCGGGCTCATGAGGCAGGCTTCCTAAAGCACCCTTCCGCCCATCTGGGGTCACCAGATGAAGTTTCTTCGGTACGGTTGGGTGGGTTCGAGGGAACCCCAAGGGAACTCTTATGACACAGGCTTTCAACTTAAGGAACCCTCAGAACTTCCCGGTCGCGCCCACAAGGCCCCCGAGATGCCCCCAAGAGTTGTTCGCGTCAGCTTGTCAAGGGCTGGGGTGTGCTAGAATTTATGCGCGCACGAAGCGCGCGTGGCTCCATTATGTATATATATATATATATATATATGTTATATATGTATACACATGTGTATACACATGTTCCCCCCCGAAGACGGGTAGCTTTGGAAGGTGCGTGGTTTCGGGGTTGGGGTTTGGCCCGTCCTTCCTCTCTGTCTCTCTCTCTCTCTTCCCCCCCGTCCGCTGCGGACCCCCCGGAGGTATCCGCAGATGGCCGGATTCCCGCAGATGCCAGGCGCCCGTGCAGTTTTGGTGGGGGGGATGTGGACGTATAATTTTTGTTGCTGCGGACCATTGCCAGTCAAGCTTCCGAAGAGATTGTCAAGCAGGTAAGAAATCAGAGGAGGAAAAGGTACCCATACTGCTACGCTTCCCTCGTTTGCCCCTTGTGGGGCCTCCCTGGAGGCCCTTGTCGCCACCGCTGAATTTGCTTCGAAATTCTGGTCAGAACGCGCCCCGTGAGAGGTCCAGGGAGTAGCGGTATGGGTACTTTTGGTTGCCCGAAGAAATCACGAAGTATGGGATGACGAGGGCATCGACCGTGGTCCTCCAGTCCAGACACTTTTTCTTTGGGGGCTTGCCTTGTCTCAGCCTCCCCATCCCTTTCCGCTACAGTGAAGACCCATGCCAAGCAACAGCCTGCTTGACTCCAGGGTGTCCTGGATTTCTTGGGTCTCGATGGTTTTTGCTATGGGGTACGTGACGCTCCCACCAGAACTCAATCAGTGTGCGTCCTGGGGTTCAGGGTTGGGTTTCCTGTGGGAGGTTGGTTTCTTGTGGTCGAGCCCCCTGCTGTAGATGCCACGAGGGCCGCGGGGCCCTGCAGAACGAATTGCCGCTCCACGCGCCAATCGCGGGGCTTCGATGCTGCCCAGCATCCGCAGAGCCCACAAACGGTTCAGCAGCTTGTGCTCCAGGCGCTGTGGCTGTCATGCACCCTGCCAGAAAAAGAAAGGTACTCCAGAGTTCGTAATAAAAGGGAGGGGGTCTGGACCCTCCAAGACAAGCCATTTCAGACCCCCCCCCGTGGGAGAACCCTCCAAAACATCGTCCCCAGACCCCCCCAGGCCCTCCAAGATAGCTTGGAAGAGACCCCCCCCGAAATGAGACCCCCCTCCCTTTATTACGACATCTGGAGTACCCATACCGCTACCTTTCCCTCGTTTTCCCCCTTCGGAGGCTCTCGTCGCCACTTTTAGATTCGCCTTGGAATCCTGGTCAGGACGCCTTCCGGAAGAGGTCTGGGGAGTAGCGGTATCGGTGTTTTTTGGTCTCCCCACCTTGTATCCGTGAACGAAGGTTGGAGGAAGCATTCGTCGAGAGATGTGGTCCAATTCAGGTCTGCACCAAAAGTCATCGTCGATTGGTGCTGTGCCGGCCTGCGGAACAAGAAGGCGAGCTGTGGTTCGCACCAGTCTGTTGCAGGCTGCGCACCTCCGCATGGCATTGGCCTCGTGGCCGGAAGCGTCAAGAGGTGCGATCACAACCCTACGCCCGCGGACCACTCGCGGGAGCTGAACGCGATGCACAATGCGTTCTGTGTTCTCGTTGCCTTGGCACGTTCCTAACTGATGGAAGCATCGCGTAGTAAAGTGCCGCAAGCCAAATTTTAAAGTCAACGCTTTACTAACCACATCGGACGGGATCTGGGCGGTCGTCGACCGCGCCGTGGCCAGAGCATCCGCGATCGCATTGTTGAACAGACAATGTGGGTTCAGATTCGCCGCAAAATGATCAAGCTTCACATTCTCATCGGTACAACAATCCAGAGCGCAAATCGCGCACTTGCCTCAGCTCCCACCACAAGTTAGCATTCTGCAATCCCCATCAACATCTGGAACAACACACAGGCGCGCGAAGCCAAAAGTTATCCGACACAGGGTGGGATTGGCAGCAAGAGGCCCGCCGGCGCCACCACCGCCGTACATATTCTTCCATTGATAGGGCCGTCATGGCATCGGAGAACTTCAGCGCCCGATCCTCTGGATCCCCGGGAAGACGGATCCAACACTTGGGAATGAGACCGCGGCGCCAAAATATACAGGTGTGTTCATCAGTCCCAGCAAGGATGTTCACAAGGCGAAGTGGCGCCACAAGAGCGGCCCCGAAAGAGTCGGCACATGTGCGACACTGCAGGCACAGAGGAGCAGGAGCAGTCTTAGCAGAGCGTGGGCGCCAGTCTGGCCCAACACCGCCGCGGGCATCTAGCCGGCTCACACGGGACAGCGCCGAGTCGCCGTCTTTCACAACACGCCGAGTGAGCCCCGCCACGTGCGTCCAGTCGACGCCAGTCTCCCCGCCTTCTCCGTCGTGGAGAGACGTGGCCGCACGCCGGTGCGCAGCATCGAGGTGGACACCAACGGCCTCGAGAACAGCAGTCACGGGACACTCGCCCGAGACCAATGCTCCCAGACTTCCCCCGGTGGGCTCATGCGCCTCGGTCGTTGGGCGCCGCGTAATGGGGGGGTCATAAATGGGGGGGTGGCAAGGGTGGTTCGAAAAGGTACCCAAACGGTACCTAGACGAGCCCCCGTGGGCTCTGGAGGGGCCCGAAAGGGGCACGAAAGGGGACCTTTTCTGACCCCCCCATCTATGACCCCCCCATTAAGCCACGCCCAAGGTCGACGAAGGGCACTGCCAGCCGAGGGGGATCAGCATGGCTTGGAAGGCTCCCGTCGACGCCCGAGCAGAGCCGCATATCCACGCCGCACGAGCTCGAGCGACCCTCCCCCACGACCGCCGGGCACGCTCAAACAGAGAGGAGCCCCTCTCTCCAGCCCTTCTGCGGCACCGCGTGCTGGCGACCCTCCGCGCGGAGACCTGGAAAAACAGGGCTAGGATCGGGATAAATCGCTCCAGAGCGTTCCGGAGCGCTCTCAGAGCGTTCCGGAACGCTCTGGAGCGGCCGCGGCGCCCAATACATCCTCCAAACCCGCCGATTCTCAGAGATTTCGAATTATCCCGATCCGATTTTGTCCCGATCTTCGCGTCGTTTTACCTGGGCAGGGCGGCACCCGGGGCCATGCGTTGCGAGGGAGGGCCGTGGCGCGGCAGGTATCTCTCTGGGGAGGGCGGCTGTGCTGTCACGAGGCACAGCTTGCAATCGGTGTCTCGTGCGCGGTGCCAGACCGTGCGCCTCAGACGCCCAGCAACTCTGCTGATGAGCATCCGTGCACAAATGCTTGCACGCACGCGTCCCGGTTTGCTGGGGGGCGGCTGATCTTCGCCGACGCCTTGCTGTTAGCGTGCAGGAGAGCGCGCCGGGCCACAGCTGTCCGTCTCGAGGCTAGTGTGGCCCAGTTTCGGGCAGCCGCAAAACCCTTGACTTTACTGCACCCTTGTTGTGGCGCTAACGAGACAAGCTCGCGACGGAGGCTCGCGGACAAGGCCGACATCCCGCATTTATCGTGGGAGGAGTCGGATTGCGAGGTTATTACGGCCGGTGCCGCCGACCCTGAAGACGACGAAGATGAAAACGAGCGGGGGGGGGTAGGAGGCGGAGGAGGAGGAGGAGGAGGAGGAGGATGCGGCAGGTTCCGCCGACCTTGAAGGAAGACGACAACGACGACGACGACGACGACGACGATGACGACGACGACGACGACGACAACGGCGGCTGCGGCTACGACGACGAAGTTGACGTGGGCTAGAGTCCTGAGATGCTGCTTGCTGCTTGCTGTATCTTCGGACGTTTCTCGGGGGCCTCTGGGGGGAAATTTTGGGGCCAGTTGGGGGCCTCTTGAGGGCATCTTTCCTGAAGGCTGGAGCACAGCGGCGTGTTATTAGCAGCTCACGGTGGGCCCCTGGCGCGCCGAGCGGGAGTCTGGCCTGGGCAAGCAGTGGTTGCGCGAGGCAGGGCAGGAGGCCGGAACGCGCGCGCGAGCCCCGCAGGCATGCCGGGCATGCCGGGCATGATGGGCTTCCCCCAGATGCCGGGGTGCCGGAGCTATATCTTTGCTGTTCCACTGGGGACGAACGACATGGGTAAGGTAAGAATGGGCACAAAGACCGGCAGCAGCTCGTGTTCAGTTTGGACAGGACTCGCTGTCGGTGTCGCCGCGGCCTGTGTCCATTCGAAGCAGAAGGCCGCCCGCCCAACAGCGGCCGCCGCCAGTGTTGGACCACATTTCCTGTTGGGCCATTGTGCCCATGTATGCCGTACCCATTGCGGGTGTGCCAGTTCTAGGCTTCCCAGGTGGGATCGGAGTAGATGGGTTTGGAGGATCGCGCCGCATTGCCGATGCGGTGCGATGCAGGGCCGGATCCCCTCTGCGTTGACGTCGCCGATGCATCGTCGACGTCGCCGTTAGATCGCCGATGCGTCGATGATGCATCGGCGATGCGGCGCGATCTTCCGACGATTCGGACCCCATCTGGGAGGCCTCTACTGGTGCCCAGGCTCAGCAGGGTGCACGCGAGGTCGCGCCGTGCGGGGGCGAAGATCGAAGAAGAGGAGCGGCATAGGCACGGACTTTCGGAGCTCCGCACAGACTCCTCCTCCTCCTCCTCCTCCTCCTCCTCCTCCTCCTCCTCCACAATTACTCAATATGAATACTACTCTCCCTCTTCCCCTGCTGACGGCCTGGGAGCCACCCCTGGCGCGCTCCGCACGGCTTCACGGGGGGCCCAGCTCAGATCTAATCACCCCGTGCGGACCTCCCAAAGTTTATGGCTATGCTGGCTGTTGCTCCTCTAGAATTGCACCGAAGGGGAGCATGGCACGCATTCGGTGTCGAGCATCGCCGAGTTTTTGGCGGATGCAGAAAGGAAGTGATACAGGGATGATGACCACGGTGTTGGGAGGTTGTCAAACGCGGGCATGGGCGCATGCGGTGTTCTGCAAGGGAGGATGCAGGAAGGAGCGAGGTGGACGGAGGTGGTGACGAGCAAGTCGGGGAGGACCAGGAAGAGGAAGAGGAGGCTGTAATGCTGTTGGTTTGCTCAATCTTGAGGTCTGATAGTACGACTGCTGTGATCAATGGTCGGTCAGTTCGTTGAGCGGGTTCCACAAACTTCTTCAGTTTGAGAACATTATTGTGCGGGCACGGTGCATGACTTGAGCATACGGTCTGCTGTCAGACGGAGTAAACCGAGCCGTGCGACCAGGAGTCGTTGGCATCTGTATGGCACCATGAAGTGGGCTATCTGATGCTGCTTCTTCGTGACATCGCATGTGGCCTCGTTTCAATGACCTCCCGCGGGCGGCTCAGAGTTGGTGAATCACAGAGGCCCGTCTTCAGAGGACACTGACTGCACAGTTCGCAACGACCCCGGGTCCAGAACAGGGTGTACCTACCCCCCGTTAAAGCAGGGCGGGGAACGTGCACACGCCGATCCCGGGCCCAGGATTCGCCTGGCCGGGATCTTGGCGCTGGTGCAAGGGTGGTTCGTCCGCCGGTGCACGCCCGCGTGGGGGGCGGGCAGGGGACGTGGAGCGCCAGGAGCGTGGGGGTGTCGGAGGGGGATGGCGGGCACGAGACCGGCAGTTCCGGAACGCCTGCCCGTGCGTTGATAAAACAACGAGTGCTCTGACTTTTGCTGCGTTGCCTTGAGATTGTCTACAGTCGGCCCAGATTATATCAGGTCGACCCTGCCAGCTCAAGGGTACCCTTGTGTCCTGTGCCTCGCGACACGTGCCTTCTTACACTCCAAAAGTTCGATGTGGCCTTCGGAAGGGTCTTGTGTCCTCTCGCGTGTCCTCTCCAATCAAGGCCGACTGTACTCATCTTGGTTTGGGGGCAGGCGGGGGGCGGGGGGCCGTTCCACGGAGGTTCGTCCGGGGTCGCCCGTCGCAGCGCGTGCTTGCCCCTGGAGGTACCCCATGATGCCCGGCATGATGCCGTGGGGCATGATGGGTGGTGCCTTCCCGGCGCCCGCTGATGTGAGGCCGCTCTGGGGAGGGGCTCGCGGGGAGCTGGACGGGGGCGGGCGAGGGGAAGGGGGACGGGGAGGGTTACGGGACTGTGGTCCATGCCTCCCCAGCGGGGTCTGAGTAGATGTGGGGTCGGAGGATCGCGCAGCATCGCCGATGCATCAGCGATGCGGTGCGATGTAGAGCCCGATGTTCTTCAAGTCGACGGCGCCGATGCATCGCCGACGTCGCGTCGCCGACGCACCGTCAATGCATTGGCGATGCGTCGGCGATGTGTGGGCGATGCATCGGCGATGCGGGGCGATCCTCCGACCCCGTCTACTCTGAGGAGGAGGAGGAGGCGGAGGAGGCG